TTTTCTTATATTTGCTGGTGATTTGCTAGTTATCATGAAGTTTTTCTAAGGATTCTGAGTTATTTAAGAACTCCAACCTTTAGTGCTCCTATTAATTTAATTTAACGGTCCTATCGATAATAATGAAAAAAAGCTGAGAGCAAAAGTTCTAATTACTACTCTGCGATTGGTCTAAACTTGCATTAGACAGAAATTCCATTAGATTCTTGTTCATATAATCATATTTTTGTTCATTAAATTAGTACGACCATCGATGACCCTTTGTCTGAGATTATCGTTTATTTATTTCTTTTCTTACTCAAACACAATACCAATCATATATTGCTAGGTATCTGAAAACGAGATTTTTATGACCATAATTAAAATACAATAATTTAGAATTTTTCCATTAGTTGTACAACAAATAATAGTAGAAATAACTAATAATAAACAAACAATAATATAATAATAGTAATAATAATAAACAATATTGGAGATAATAATAAAACTGTAGAAAAATAATTGTCATGTTAAAACACAAACATAGATTTCACCCAATAACTAGTGAGAATTTTGAAAAAATCGCGATGAACCATAAAAATTTGTTACAAGCACAAGTAAGCGGCAAATACATTTCTATTCTAAATGACAACTTTTGCTACAGAATAGCGAATATTTTTGGAATATTATTAATAATTTAGCTGTATGTCTTCGAAGGTTATTAAAAAAATTTCCTTTTCCTTTTTTTTTCCTTACGAAGGGCGATTCCGCTTATAAATCAATTTTCTAGATCCTAAATCATAAGATAATCATGAAAAAATTCTATGAGAAAAGTTCTTTGAAATTAATTACTTGAATAAGGATTATATGACAATATCCGTGATGCTCATATGTAGTTAGTATTTTCTAGATACGAGTATTGTCCTTTTTTCTTTTTAAATCATTTTCTTGTCAACAATTGTTCGCTTTGGCTAATCCACTGACCCTTGAAACTGTTTGTCCCATGTATTAACATTTACCGCAATTTGTCATCTTTTGTTTTTGGTTCAATGTTAATCCCCCTCGATGAATTCTTCCGAACGGTCACACATAAATTTCTCTTTTTTTTGCCGACAGTTAATATTTTGCTATAATTACGATTTACAAAGTTATATAGTTATTACTATCAATTTAATAACACTATTATTATTATAAATTTTTTAAGGCATTTGCGCATAATTTTTAGTTTTCATATAATTTCTAAATAAACAATTGGCGAAGCTATTTAAACAGATTTGATTAACAATAAAGAATAGATTACTTCACTAAAAAGAAATGATCGATTTGTCATACGAATCGATCATTGAAAAAAATTTTCGAGAATTGTGAACTCTTAATTTATAAGTTGTGCAAATTGACTATATTTACATTTTTCTTATGCCACAAATTTGCGTAAATCTAATCCCTTAAGAACAACAACGAAACCATCGTTATTACCAAACCATTAAATTGTAATATTTTGCTTCATTCTATGATATTTTTTTTCCACTATTTCATTTTGAGATAGTTTTGCTTAGCATGATGGTGGCGATATTTATAGAAACTTAACAAAAAATTTTCATATTTACTTAATAGTTATTTCTCAGTATTAATGGTTACAAATGAAAATATAGCAAGAATAAAGTGAGCAATTCGAACACTCTACTTTTATATAAAAATTTTTGCTTTAATATTGTCAGTACTTTGCATCCAGTAGAAGATAAACGAGGTCAAACTGGAAAAAAAGTGAATAAATTAGTTCAAGAACTGTAGATCCAAATAGTATGGTTTAATTATTATGAGTACTAGCATATTGAAAAATCTTAATATACAGTATAAAATCTTGCGGACAGGAGAATATAAGAATGCCAAAGTTATGATAAATTATTTTCCTATTTTGTAAAACTCAACATCAATTTCAAGGGAAGATGATTTAATAATGATTACGGTAGATCCTCCTCAGTTGATTGGCCAGTTAATTTATAGGGTAATTGCGAAGGTGGGGCCAAGCAAATGGCCAAAATAGTACGGTAAAAGAGGATGGGTGGGAGCTAGGTAAAGTATTTAAAAAGATTATGTAGAAATAAGAGCATCAAAGAATTTTTGATTTAATGGCGACAGAGTGATGAAAATCGCAGTGAGCGCAGTTGAGTTGGTCTAGTGCTGTTGTTGTTATTCGTTAATAGCGTTTCAGGAGAATTAGTACCATAGAACGGACTGAAATTTTTTCCCTCGTTGGCTTAAGGAGCGATTATTTTGCCTGAAGCGATTAATGGTTGGGAGAGAAAGTGAGATGGAAGAATGAGTAGGAGGAGGAATCATTTTGGTAACGCTAACTCCACAGATCATCCGGTATTATAACGTGGGCAAGCCGATTTCTTTAATTACTTAAATCTGATTTGACCCCTAAACTCGTTGAATTGGACTTAAATAATAATTGGTGAAAATCAGATTTAACCTTTTTTTTCCACCTAAAATTAAGCTGATTTTTTTTCGGAATTAGATTAAATCATTCTGTGTTTACTTTTTATACACTTGTGTCGAGGATGATAAGGCTCAAAATATTTTTTAAGTGGTGATAACAGCACTGAGATCATTACTGACTTAACTTTTGATTTAGAAATTGATGCTTCCATAATTTTTTTCAAAAAATCGATCTACACCGATTGATACAAGCATATTCATCCCTTTCGTTTCTTTGTCTTCAAATATTCTCGATTATATTTGCCCATCAGAATTTTTTATTACATATTCGGCTTGAAATTATAATAAATAATGACAAGCACAAATTCTTTAATTTTTTTGGACTTTCTGCAGTGTATATTGCATTTGCATTTATCTTCTCATAATAAATTAACTTATTTTTACTACTAATTCTGCTTATTCATCTTAAGTTCTTTAAGTTTTTGGCAACCTTAACACCTTAAATTTGTGTAATCTTTTAAAAACTTTAAGTATGTCGAAAACCCAGTTTGCTCTTTCATTTTTTGCTTTACATACTTTTTCTTCATGCCTTCATATTTTTTCTCCTGCTTCACCAGTATTTTTCAATTTTTTAGTGATTCATAGATGCAATGTTTCTGCAAATAAATTTTTTCAAATCCAGATTAGTAGTGAGCTGATTCTTTCTTATAGCACCCTCGAACAATAAAAACTTTTCTTCGTCATCTTCATCATTTTTAATTCTTGTTTATATGTGATAATCTTTACTGAGCCTGCTCTTAATAATTTAAAACTTCCTTTACCACTGCGGTTTTAACAATGCTGGAAAAAAGTGCTCATCAATTATATAAAAATTCGTGGCTTAAATTCATAGGTGCAATTGTTGAATTTCTGCAAGTTTCATTTTCATTCATGCGACTGATGAGATTCATCAAGTAAAGTTCCAAATAAAATTATTAAAGGGACTTGATGGTAATCTTAGCTAATCAGTTGAAGAAGACAAAAGGCAAAGACAAAACAAAATTAGCAGAGCTTTTTGGTGCAGATTATTTAGATCATTCAGATTATAATCTCCTGTAATTTAAACTCTATCTACCACTGCATTAATTTTTTTGCATTATTAAGGCAAATGGATTCCATTGATAAAAAAATTTCGTTCATTCGTTAACCTGATTGGTACTTTCATACCTGTATGTTTTAAATTAGAAAATCGAAACAATTATTCAGAAGAAAATTTAGTAGTTTGTTGACATGGTTTATGGCTACCTTACATTCATAGAAATTAGGTAATAATCGTCAAAATCCTATTATAAATAGCTTATTTCTAATCATTTTAATTAAGTTTAATGTACTTATTATTTCAGCACGAAAAATTCCTTGAGACGATGAAATGTTAAGGTATCAATTATTAGTCTAAAATTTTCACGAATTAAAAATGGCTCCTTCTCTTCGAAATAACTAAAGATGTCAAAAACATCAAGAGTGCTATTAAATAACTATTTACTGTTAATAACTGTTTTAAACTTAATTAATAAACTTAATTAATAATTACATCAATCATACATGTTTTAATAATTACATCAATCTACTTGATATGGAAACCTCAGTTATTAGCTTAAAACGCTTTGTATTTAGTGAAAAATGAGAATAATATTACTTCTTATGTTTCAAGTTTATGTTTACCAAAACAAGTAGTAGTTCTTGTTTTTTTTTATTTGTTGTTTTTTATAATGCTAATGTTATTTTCTTCTAATTTCTTAAACATAATATTGACTCCTTAAATTTCGCTTGAAAAAAAAAAGAAAGAATCCATTTGAATCCAGTAAGATGGAAAACAAAACTAAATTGATAGGACTAATATAATTTCTGCCAATCTGGATTTTTCTTTTTTGATATTGCGATTTTGATGAAGCTTATTTGAATAATAATATTTAAACGTGTAGAGATGAATTTTCTTAAAAGCTTTTGAAATTCCAACATTTTGCCGTTGTTGAATTTCCCATCACATATTTTCTTCTAAGAAAATAATGAAATGATACTTTATAAATTTATTAACACATTGCTTGAAGAATTGTAAGCTTGGATAAAATAGGAAAAGGCGAACAAGAGTGTGATTAATAACCTAAAAGAACTTTAAAATCGAATTAAATCTAGTCGAATAGGCAATTTTTCCAGAGCAATAAAAATCTTTCAGTGGTTGAAGAAAATCAAATCTCAGGTAGTAACCACAATGTTATATCTGCTAGAGATCATCTCAAAACCTAAACATTGAATTCAAGTTGTCAGCTTTAAATTTAGATCACTATTAATCTGTATCAAAATTTCGTTTTCATTTTTAATGGGCTCACATAGTTTAGGTTAGAGGTGGTTTAATAAAGTATAGGAAGTAATAATTCTCTTTACATGGTTCAAAATGAATTATTTAATTGTTTGACAGTACGAAACATCAATTTTCATTTTTTTATCCCTTAAAATGAATTTGAATATAGTTTATAACAAAAGTTAAAAAGTTTAAACAAAAGTGGAACAATATTTATGCATTCTATAATGCTTTTTTGCAGATGTCATATCTACCTAGCGTAAGCGTAAGCGGAGCTGCTGCAGCTGTAAATATGAGTTCAGCTGCTAATATGGCTGCTGCTGCATATTTCAAAAACGGGACATACGGAGGAACACATATGACTGGTGCTGCTCTTAGTTTCACACCACCAGCCCACAATTTTTTGCCTGCTAGTATGGGTTATATTAGCGGAACATTGGCCGATTGTCAAAGTGCCAGCATGACCGCATGGGGAACAGGTCAAGCATCAAGGTGGTTTTTGCTTTTGTGGTTTTGTGGAAATTTTTTTAAAAATATATTCGCTGATCGAAGTATTAAAAAAATATATCCCATGATCACCTCTGCCAAAGAAATGATCTGAAATAATTACTTTATCAGCAAGTTCTTAATCTCATAAACTGGAGTCAAAACTAAAATAAATAAATCGTAATTGATAAAAATAGGCAATCGCTAAATAATTATTTTATCTTTAGAAAGCAGAGACGAGAACGGACCACATTTACTCGACTTCAACTAGAAGTACTCGAAAGTTACTTCTCGAAAACGCGGTATCCAGACATATTTATTAGGGAAGAAATCTCTCTCAAAATACAGCTGCCAGAATCGAGAGTACAGGTGCGTTATAATGGTCATGCCGACACTTGGTGTAGATTATTTTCCTCCAATAGTGACTGGGATCACGCCTCCGATAGGATTGGATATGTCGTTAAAAAAATCTGGGTGGTGCTGGCGAGCCCACTTATATTATTTCTATCTCCAAATGTTTTGCTAGCAAAAATTCCAAATCTTCTTTACAGCCAGTGAAGAAAGAAATACTAGAATTGGTGAGCGGTAACCACTTATGTTTTCTACAATAAAAAGATGAAATTTATTATCAGAAAACGTAATTGATTAACACATGAAAAGTACAAAAAGCCATCTTTTTTTAATAACAATAACTAAGCATGAAGAAAAAACATAAGTTTCCATTGGCTGAAATTCTTTACATTTAGTAATATGGTTCTTCGAAAGAAACTGTTTGTTACGCATAAGGCATAAATATATAACATATAGCACCATGAAGAATTTGAGTCGCTCGCACCTAGTGTCTATAGATTACTGGTTTTATAAGTCTTAGAATAATATAATAAATAATATAATATTGTAATTACGAATTTATAGTGGCACTTTAAGGTTTGGTTCAAAAACCGACGTGCAAAAGCTCGTCAGCAAAAAAAAATAGCCAAGCAAGAGCCACATACTTCTGGCCTTTGCATTAATAATAGCGGTCCGACGGATCCAAATACGCAGTCAGATAGTCTTAATTCTAATAATGATACTGTAAGTGTTATTCTTTCTATTTATATGCATTAATTATCTATTATTTCACTACCATATTCAGGCAATCTATATCTAAAAAAAATTGGAACGAAATAATTAAATTATTTTTTCATAGGCTTTTGAGAAGCAAATGAATTTTAATAGCTCAGCAATTAAATATTTTTTTGATTTGAAAAAATTTCGAGATGCATTTTCTTATTGAGTACAGTACAATTATGCACATTAGATTAGATTATTTATTAGATTATTTATCCTTTTCGTACATTCACCGAAGGTTTCACTTAGATTGGGAGAATAATAAATGATTGAATTAACTACTAGGAGAACTGAGACTGCAACATGAGGACATCAAGGGTGGGTGAATCGTTGATTAAAAAGTTATCTCGATTTTGCTGCGTTTCTTGCACTAAAGATCTCCAATACCATAAGAAAGATCGCCCATTTTTTTTGATTTTTTTAAACATTCCTATGAAGCGGACATAAAAGATCCATTTATATACGTTGCATAATCCAGATCATTGTGAAAAATATGAATTGCATTTTATTTACTAGGTTCTAAATCGCCAATTTCAAAAAGGGATAGCATTATCATGGTGAGAGGCAAAGATTCAGTTTCTCAGTCGACTGAAGTAATCTTTTATTAAAAAATCCAGGTGCTACTGTCGGTCGACCCTACATTTCTATCGTTATGTAATTCTCGGGCAAAACTTTCCACTGTACTGTTAGCCAACCGAGTGCACCTAACCAGAAATTATGAGCACTAACTGCTTGCCTACTTATTGATTTCAAGCAGCAAATGATCTAAATCAGTGCAAATGCAAAGATTAGTATTAATGTTTGATTAAAGAGCGGCAAATTTAGATAAAAGCTGAAGATGAGTCTGAGCCAGCGGTTGTCGTGCAACGATCAACTGTTTCTCCTACAGAGATTGATGCCGCGAAAATTACAGCTTTTCCAGCAACATATTTAGGAACAATATCTCCTTCTTCGGCATATTCCACACAACCACCGTTTCCACAAGGCTACGGTATTAATACAAGTACTGAATATCATTTTTGAGGAAAAGAAGTTTTTATTAATGAAAAGTTACTTATAAAAGAAACTGCGATGTCAGAATCTTGAAGGCCTTATATTATCCTGACAACAGTTTGCTCATTTATTCTGACAGTCTGTGGAACAATAAAATTTAAAAAATTATAGAGTTCAAAAAATTTAAAGCAAAGGTTGAAAATAGAAAATATAAACAATGGTAGAATTTCAGGATATGCCGGTTATCAAACAGCTGTTCCAACGCCAATAGACTATTTCCAATATCCGGCAAATGCTGCAACATATGGAGCAAGTGATGCCTGGAAATTCATCAATCAGTAATACAGTACTCATAAATGCTTTATCATTATGCCAAATTCTGAGAAAATAGAGATAAAAATGGAGTTGGAATTTGCTTTTTCTCTTATCGGCTCGAATTTTTGAAGTTTTTGATAACTCTTATTAATTTTTTGTTCATATTTGAATTAGTCCATTTAATATTTCCAGCTGACAAAAAAAAAACACAGAACAGCTGATAATAGAAAAATGCAAAAAATTTCTAGACTATGCAGCGCTTTCATTATTAGGAAAATGAAAAAACCAGTTTTCCAAAGTGCTCCTGTAAATCTGGATGTAAGCTTTATTATGTTTCTGAGATTGGACAATTAAGGGAATAATTTTGGCATGTATCATATATATTTTCGGTTTGAAGGATTATTTCGATTACATGTTGAGAACCAACTTCAAAAACTAGTTACTTCCTCAACTATCTATCTCAAAAAGTTTTTATTGAATCAATGACCTCAAAAATATTGTTGATTACTGGTTTCTTTTTTTTTCGTAATTTTGGATTATATTTAATTTATCTATACTCTTTGTATGAAATTTTGAAGTAGAATAATAATTATCGTGCTTATTGTTTCTCAATTATGTTATATATATATATAATTTTGGATATATACACCAATAATATATAATTTATAACTGCTGCAGAATAGACCTGATTCTCATCCTTCTCAACCGGTGATTCTTACTAAATTAATCTTTGCATAGTGATGCTCATTTATCCGGTAATATTTACAAGCATTAATTCGTGCTAAGTTTGTATAATTGATTTCACATGAAACTTAAATCTATAAAAATGAGAAACTAATCATTAAAATCTTTTGATTATAACTAATATTTATTCATTGATAAGTTATCCTTTTCGCTTTTGCAGAGTTGTAAAGATAGATTCATATCAATAATTCACGACTTCCTTTATTGCGATGAACTATGACATGGCCCAACTTTGTTACAGTTATGTTATTATAAGCCAGTGATGAAATATGCATATATAAATAATTGGCACAAGCCGTGCAAATATGGTGCACTAATAAGAATGTTTAGTATCCAGCGCTACTTTACCAGTAATTATTAGATAACTGTATGGATCAAAATTTGAAAAACGAAGTTAGAGAAAAGAAAAAGGGTCTGTTGTTCTACAAGATAAATGTTATTTGAAAGATTGAAATAAAGTAAAATAATTTTTAGTTTTTTGACTAATAGCATAAAACCCCAAATTCTTCGACTTCTTATTCTTGACAGAGATGGTAATTTAATCGAAAAGAAAAAATTTTAGAGAAAATTAAGCATAATAAAATGGTTACTGGTAAATGGAAATATGATCAGAAGTGAAGCAAATAACCACAACAGAATCACCACCTCACAACCACGTATTTTTTCGATTGTTTCACTTTACGATTTTTTTTTTCTTCACTTACCATCTTGTTTTTTTTTTTTTTAAATAAATCACATTTTCTGAAAAATTCTTTTTTTTTCTCCATGGGATCAATGGTTTAACGGTCGATATAAAAATTTTAATATTTTTAACCTTTTTTTCTGTAAACGTATATATTGTTCCAATGTAATTTTTATAATAAACCCGCTGTAAATTTACTCATGTACTTCAATTAAAATTATTTAATATAAACATAAAGCATAAATATAAATACCCTGCAATGATCTCTGCTTTTCAACAAAAAGTTTTATTTGTGGTAATGGTAGCTCTATCCTCACTGATAGCAACTTCTTACTTCGATGTGTTGACCATAATTTGCTCCCAAATTTAAACAGCTTGAGATGACGACAATGTTCATAATCTTGAAATGTTTGTTCTATGGCGATATGTCCATAAAATATTCGTCCCTTGACCCTTCAGAAATATTACATACCATCAATGTGTAATCGGTTTAGATGTTCAATTTTTCGACTTTTTATTTAGACTGAATTTCAGCAAGAACACGGACACTGGTACAATGAAATTTACTGAATATGCTGAAATTTTTTGTTTACATTTATATTTTTGTGAAAAAAATATTTTATAGTGGAAAACCAAGAAAAATACAAAATAGTAAAAAGCAATAAAAACATAGATACATCAAGTTTTGTTTAACAAATTTAAAAATTATCAATTGGATATTAATAATGTTTACAAAAAACTTTTCGAATGAAACTGCAACCACAAATCCATTACAGTAAATTACAATAAGTTAGTGATTAGCAACTATACCGATACTAACGACAAACATTTATTACTGACACCTTTATTGCTCGTTAACCGATCTAGCTAACGAAAATCTCGAAAATCTTGATTTCGACCTTCACTGCAGAACTATGGTAGAGAAATCCTCAAAGGTACTTAATTTTATTTTTCGTTCGTTTAAGAACAAAACAAGTTTTCTTATCAAAATGTATAAAGTGTTCGGCCACTTCTTGACTATAATACTACATGTTACTCTCAAAGATATCATTAATCAAGTAAAATAATTGAAGGACTCCAAAAATATTTTATACGATACCTCTCCCCTAATTGCATTTTAAGCATAAAAAAAAACTTCTACAATATAACCTGCATTCTCTCTCAGTTCGTAAAAGATTTAATTTATACTTATAAGATTCTGTATGGTTATGTTAAACTAGATTATTCAAAATATTATAATTTTAGGCTAAATTTAAATCCAACAAGAACTAATGGGCTAAAATTACTAAAACCTCTATGTAAAACTAAACTAAAGACTCATGATTTCTTTATTCGTACTGTTACTGGAATAAATTACCGAAGGATATAGCTTGTGCGTCATCCTTAGCAATCTTTAAAAAAAGATTAGATAATATCATTTAAGATATTATTTAAAAAATTCACAACATGCAGGAAGTGTGAAATCACGATTTTTACCAATCGTTTATAGTTATTTCGAATTCTACAATATTATATTATTCTGCAATTTTATCTCTTTCCTCTTTATTTCCTCATCGAACTGTTAATTTTTCTCATATTTTCTACTTTCCTCATGGCTAAATTTTATTATTTATTATTTTTTTTTTAAACTGTTGTTATTAATGCATGGCGTTGTCATCTTGCTTTGCTTTTCAATAAATAACTAATAAATAACTACATTCTGATCAGCTGAAAATGAATAAGTACTGTGATTTTCTCCGAATAATTCTACTTCAGTTCACATGTTTCTTGCGAACTGAGATCCCGTATTGAATGCCATAATACTGCCGACGTTTTCAGAGTCAAAGAATAAGTTTTTTTCCTTAATGATACCTGCAATTTGATTTTTTGAAAAAGTTGCATCCTATTCCCATTGAATCTAAAAAAAGAACAATAAAAATTCGAGAATTTGAGAACATAAAATTTTTTAAATTAAAATTTTTGCAAGAACAAATTCCCAAAAAAATTACTAGTTCCAGTAAATATCGTAAATATCAAAAGAAAAAGAAAATTAATAGTCCAATAAATATCTACAAATCTAAGAAAAATGGTGAAAATGCTGCTTCGACTAAATGAAATCAAATTCGATTTCGGTCCTTTGACGAGCAAATCCATCAATAAAAGGGAAATGCGGGAAGTGATGATGCACTTGCGCTTCTAATCTCCACCTTCTCTGACAAAAAAACTCGCCACAGCAATCAGCCATCAAAACCAAACATTGTGGATATACTATTAAAGAAAAATAATTTTATCACTGCCAAATCTATTTCATTCAAAATACCACACATAAAAAAGGATGCCTTACATGTTGCCTTACCTTATCATTACTTCCTGCAATAGCCGATCGATTCGCTTCCAACCTTCAGCCTTAACTACAGCTTTATTTGCTTAACTAGTCCACTCATTAGATCGCCACTGTGGGATCCACTCAGTCACAGTTTTCAAGAAAATGTAGCGTAAATTATCAGTTCTTTACCCATTTCAAGTGTCTGTGATGATGAAAGATATTAATTAATTAAATAAATTAAAAAAGAAAAAAATTGAAACAAATGGATAGAAGCAAGCCTCTTCTACGGCACTAATGGCTTTACAAAAAAATAAAAAGATCGATTTCATCCCACTGTCAGCAACATTCTTCCTCATTTAATTCATTATTACCAATACTTGTTCTTTGTAAACAAGGAAACGGAGAATGAAGTGAAGCTTTTCATCTAAATTTAGATAAATACTTTTTTTTTCATAAGTGTTTTACTCAATTTGTCAACAACTCTTTGAATATTTATTGAGAAAATTATTTCATTTAAACTGAAAATTATCAAAACCAATTTGAAAAAAAAAATGCATTTACAAATTTATTTACTGATTTAAATAACAAAAAATTGCAAACATATGAGGAATCGACCGACGCTTAGATCCATGCATTTTTTTATAAATGAATCTATATTCTTCTGCATTTCAAGTCAATTCTCCGTTAAATTATGACTAAATTAATTTTAAAAAATATTTACGGAACCTACAATAAGCCTTTTGGAAAAGGAAAAAAAAAGGAAGTATATTTACTCGCTATCCAGTATGTAACTTAGTTTCAGCTATTTCTAAAAATTCCTCATGTGAGGATTACTACACCAATAATCAAAAATTAACTCACTCATTGCCTTGAAATGAAACAGAGCGTCCAAAATTCTCAACAGAATTTAGAAACGTCGCAGAAACCTTTTTCCTCTTCCTCAATTTTTTGACCATAGGTTTTTCTAATCCAAAATTAGCCAATCTCTGAGCAATCAAATACTGTGCACAATCCATATCAGCTAATTTAAAACTGACCTAAAACATCGAAAAATTAAATGGAAAATATACAAACCTTTTTCATACAAGAATGGAATTTATATAACCTTGACAAATTATTCAATGTAGATATACAATCTATGTGGTATAAGTATATGTAGGTAGTCAAAACAAACTTGTAATTTACTTGCCAATCTGACAATCCGCTTATACTGCGGATAATTTTTTATTAGCATTCCATTTTTCTTCATCCAGTGCTGCTCAAAGCCTTTCAAGAAGACAAAGCTATCCGTATACACTAAGACACTTGAATATTCATTAAAGACGGCCTAAATGAAAGATTTAACATTCATTTTGAGAGGGAAATTTACTCAATATAAAACAAAGTATTCGATGAGTTTATCGTTATGAGGTACTGTTGTCGATTCCCCTATATCTTAAACAAGTGTACGTTTACAAATACATACACTGGGAAACTATCGTCAGTAATATCGTTAAAAAATAAAACCCGAAAAACTAATTCATTATATTGAAATTTTGTTACATTATCCAATTATCTTCCTTCGCATGATTTAATAAATTTTTCCACTTTTTTTTAAAGAAATTAACTAAAAGAAAATTAAAAAGCAAAGCAAATTTAATTAATATAAACGGAAATATGGTTGTGCCGAAAATATTAAAAAATAATCCTGTCTATAATAACCCTATATTATCCTTCAAATGGAAAATCTCAAATATTCGAATTAGGAGGAACATTGTGGAATATCAAATTTTTGCAAATCCAAAATACATATAAAAAATATGTGAAACTAAACAGAAGAACTTTCCAATTCCCAAAGTGGAAATTACAGATCAGACAAAGAAATATGAACAAGCAATTCACATATCTGCAGAGGTTAAAAAATCTGAATTCATAATGGAACGAATTACGAGAATAACTAACATTTTCTAAGGCAATAATTATAGCTTGTAAGCGTGCCCGAAATAAAGTTGCTGGATACATGGACAAGCGTTGACTTCTACAAGCTGCATTTACATTAGACCAAGCGTTACCGCAACCAGCACGAAAGATATCACCTTTACAGTCTTTAGCCACAATACCACACGTGTAAACAGTTGGAATACTAACATATGAACAAATTTAAATTAAAATATTACACATTAGATCATTTTAATGATAGAAAGTAATAATATAATACAACTAAAATATTAAGAATAGACAACGTACTCAGCACCAAGAGACTGGTCGGACACATCTGTAAAACCACGCTCATAATTTTTTTTGCAAAAACCACTAATTGATCTCTTTGCTCCATATCCATTAACAAATTTTTTATTGGTGTCAGATGGTGCATCATAAGTGGATCCTGCTTCAAGTGAAGAGATTGCTTTGCTTGGAGAAGTAGTAACAAATCCACTATAACATTTAATTATCCTTCAAAAATATAAATCCTACAGAAAATGAAAAAGTCTGAAGGCATCTAAATTTTATTAAATTTACTCTTAATGAATTTCCTGGCCATCTTTGTTAAATTTGATCACTAAATTACACTCGATCTCACTCCCATTTTCGCCTAAATAAATTGCAGATCTCTGATTTGTCGTATGAATTAACAAAAACCTTTCTTTAAACACCTGTTCACAAACCTAATCAATTCAGATCCATTTCCAACATTTGTTTGATCACGATGGATTTCCAGCCACGGCGCATTTGATCGAGCAGAATCTGAATAACATTAAATCTTAATCGATTTCATGAACCCATCAATATAATACAAGATGAGTTTGACAAATGTAACAAGAAAATAAAAAAAATAGTGAAAAATTATTAAATTATTGAGAAGTAAATTTTAAAAAACCAATGAAAAAACGCTGAAAACGCATAATGTTAAAGATATATATTCCTTTTTTAAGAGTTTTTACCATTACTGGTTAAACTCGCTCCACTGGCTTATCGCATTGGACAAATATGCCAAAGAGTCCCTTGGCGATACAGGTGAGTCGCCAGCATCACTCGGATTTTTGGATAGGTTTATTCCTGCCTTAGTATTGGAGCTTCGAACTTAGCAACAACTCACTAAGCCATCCTATCTCAAATGTTAAAGATATAGTATAATATGAACCGTTAACATTATTAATGCACCGTAAGAAAAATAATTCATTTTGGAACCAATCGCTGCTCAACTCTTCTTTATTTTGAATCAGAAGAACCTTCGCCTAAATTAAAAAATGAAAAAAATTGTAAAAGTTATTATTATTAAAGAAAGAAATAATTGAAATGCCAGGAAAAAAGGAGAAATTAATAAAATCAGATCAGTAATGATATAGTGGCTATAGAATATTGCTAGCTTTCACGAATCAAAAAAGAAGTACGGAATAGCAAAAAAACCAACATCGATCATACAGAAAAGATTATAAAGTTCCTCATATTTGTCGGCGTGTTTAACTGTTTTCCCTCCAACTGTCATAAATCCGTTTCTGATCCATCTGGAAAGATACCTTGATAACGAATCACAAATATATTTGGATCCTGTAGCAATAATTATTTGCGAAAGATCCAACTCAAATATTGCCTAAAAGAGACGTTAATGAAAAAAAAGCATAGAACAAATATATCGATGGCAGATACTTATATAATTCAATTTATAAAAAAAAATCTCAGTAAAGTCAAAACAACCAAGAAAGGAAAAACAAATATTTTTTCAAATCAATTAGTTAACATTCGTTAATCATTAAAAAAATTCTATATTAGCATGCAAATGAAATAACCTGTTTTAAAACAAGAATGAACGCTTCTAATTCAGCTGCAATTTTTGATTCTTCATAGACACACTGAAATTAATAAGACAATCAATAATAACCACAATCACATCTGCCATTAACAAAGACTCTGCATTGAAGAAAATGTTATACTAATTTCAGGGAGAAACGAATCTTTTTTTAATAGTTCGCAATATTCGGATTATCTATGTTGGCTGCAAAGGTAAAGAGTTTCCAAACCGATACGATACTTGACTGAAGTATTAGAAACCATTCGTTTGTCCACCATCTACTCCCACATATAGCTAGATTCCCTATATAGGTCCAAAATCTCTTCTGCCTGTATCAGTCCAAGTTTTGAATGGACCTCCAACTTTTGATGCCACCGCAAAGGTTAGCAAATCTTCTTCTTCTTCTAAAAGCTCTCATCATTACTGGTTAGGCTGGCCCAACGGCCAAAAGGTTAAGATGCCACCAAGCTGCTCGGTCCGACGCCATCGCTATTAGTAATAGAAGCCATTCCTTTTTCCACCGTCTAAGTCTATATATTGCTGGTCCACCTATACGTTCTTTTCTCTCCGTATCAGTCCAGATCTTGATTGGCCCACCTCGCTTTTGACGTCAACCATCATACGGTTTAGCAAATAACAAAATATGCGTCAACTCTTGTGGTGACGACGGAAAATGTGCCCTAACAAGCGAAGGCGGCGCTCTGTGATAATATTATTTATGCAGGTGGTATTTGAACGAAGATGGATGCGATCTTGTGATATTTTATCTGCTCGACGGATCCGTAATATATACCTTAGACAAGAGTGGTCAAAGGCAGATAACTTTTTAATATCCTCCACTCTTATTTGCCATGTCTCAGAACCACACAGCAAGATCAAACTGATCTTTCAATTTTGTGGTGATTTCACGATGAGTCCAAAAAGGTTTCGTCAACCGGAAGAATGTATTTCTAGCTGCCGTGATCCGAGTTGCAGTATCATCTTTTGCCTGGCTAGAGTGGATCCAAGATATTTAAAATCGGGCACTTCCTCGACCGGCAATGAATTTACAAAAAGAGGCATTTTATCAACTTCTTGCACATAAGACGAAAATAATTTCGTTTTATTTACATCCAGTTTATTGTATAGTTGAATATTGCAGGGGAAAAGACACAGTTTTGACGGGCACCACTTCTTATTTCGAAGGAGTCTGTCAGCTCTCCATATACACAGACCTGGGCCGATGTGCGCTCACAAAATGTCTTTATGAGCCGAATGATCTTTTCTTTAACACCGTCACGTCCATCATCCTCAAAAGCATCGCTCTATCAACTGAATCAAAGGCAGCCGCAAAGTCGATGAAACATGTGACAGTGGGTTGCAAATATCTGAAGCGATGTTCCAACAAGGTTAGAAAATAACGAGAAATATGCACCAAAAAAATATTGATAAACGGCGAAGAATATGGCCTAATCAGTGTAAGCGATAACGTTAGTACTGATGGTTAGTACTGATGGTGTGATCATGTAGATTTTAGACGCTCAGAGAAGGAAAGAATAAATCATAAAAACGAACTTTAAATCGATTCCAAGAATTGTTTTTTCCCCAATAAACACCGATATAAGATAAAATTTTTCTACCTTTCCAAATCGACATACCAAACGTCTTTACGATAGGAACGCTAAATTAATAAATTTCATTATTTCATACTTTACGTTAAACGAATTCTATGATCATTTAACCAATCGGTTCATTCATTTAATAGTCTGTTATGATTTTTAACTTATTAGAACTTCATTAATATTTCAAGACTACAAGCGCCATATGAAAATAGAGATACCAGTTTTTTAATCGAAAGATTTTTAACCGAGTTGTCGCAACTATGAAGTGCGGTTGACTTCTCTTATAAAAGTTCGAAAAATAAAGAGTTTGCAGTACGTTATTTAAAGAAGCCTATAAGATGTTTTATAATATATGTTATGTTATATCTTATACCTCATATATAAAAAAATTATAATTACAGCTTTAAAAACAACCAAGTGGAGTTAAAACCATCATGCGCTAAAGAACTATTAAAAAACGCAAGTAAAGAAAAAAAACAGAGCAATGCTCTATGAAGATTTAAACGAAATGACAAATAACAAGAAGATTAAAACACCGAAAAAATTTTTTAATAAAATTTAGAGTCGAATTTAAGATAATGTTGCAAATAAGGCTATTTTCTTTTTAAAAGTAGACATTACAATGCTTCCATAATAATTTCCTCTGTACCTGCCATGCTCCCAACAAACCCTCTGAAATGCCTCAAAAACGTTTTCTCGTCTTAATAAATCTCTTAATTCCTCTTAATTTTCTTGATCAAGTCTCACTGTGCTCTTTTGTCAAACTAACAAAACCAGTTATAACTCCTCATAAATCTCTTTCAAATGAAAAATATTTTCTTAAATTCCTTTATAATACATTCAGTCCGTCGAGACATTATATTAACGCTATCATGATACTATATTAACGCAATAGTGTCAAAAAGTCGTTGTATTATTTTGCTGCAATCCACTAAAACTCCTGCAAAACCCTCTTTACTACACAATTCTCCAACTGTAGTGCCTTATGGTGTACCCATCTACATCATTATGTTTTGTGGAAAATCTTCCCGAATTATATCGCCCTTAATATTATCAAGTCATGATACATAAGTCACAGCACTTCAAACTTCTTCCCATCGTTTTAATCCTCTCAGATTTAACTGTAATCCCCTTGTCATATTCTTTCACCTTATTAATTTAATGTCCTGTCAAATAGAGGACTTTTCCCATGGCTGCAGCTACAAATTATAAAATTAAAAAATATCGCACCACTGGTGACTCGAAAGTATTTTTTTCACCTCTGATAAATTGTTCAAGTTCTATTATAACGACAAATACTCCAAGAACTCTCTTAATGTTCGTTAACATACCCAACCATACCACGTCCTTGAATTCCGTTGGAATGCGTTGAGCTCTGTCAGACTTTACCATGGTGTCCTAATACTGCCTACTTTTTCATTAAACTAACTAAAACAATATTTCATGAGCTTAAAAGGTTGAGAACCATTATTTTGACTGTGCAACAATTCAATTAATTCATTTCAAATTTCTCTAGCTTGAATTGAAAGGATCAACTGAAATGAATTGAAATAATCTCACTTCTCACTTGACTTTTCTTACAATGATATTTTTAAAGAAATCATTATTACAGAAAAATACAATCGAAAAACTAACTTTTTCCATTTATCACTGTGATTTTTTTCTTGACAATACTCCACAGATACAACTTTTCGCGAAGGTTTCTCTGAAGATCTCTTATCGGATAACATATCTGACCAAGAAGAGAAAGTATTACTTCTATGGAAAATGCTACAAGAAGACCAAACTGCTACAAAACTATTGGGCAAATTTGGACCAGGAAAACGAAAGAGCGATCTCCAACAAAGCACTAACAATCGGTTATTTGATGACATTTTAGTAAACTCGAAACTGCCTGAAAAAATAGAATAAAAACGCTCTGTTAAAAGGTTTAAATTTAGCTACAATCTTTGAACATCGATAAAGAAATCCTTATTTCCATCTCCAGATGACTCATTGGCAGATAGACCCAAATAATAGTGGCCAGTGAAAGCACCTGAAGCAGAATTAGTGGGTGCTGGCATGCGATAACAAACTGGCTCAAATTAACCTTTTTATTGGTTAAGAAATCCTTCGGAAAATCAAGTGAAAGCGGCGCATTCTCCAGAGAGACAATAAACAACAGTGAATAGAAAAAACAAATTACAAAGAAATAAAAAATTAGATGAACAAGTTCATTCAATGCGATGAAAGTTGGGCAAGCACTGAGCAAGATGTCAGAAAACTTCTTCATAAAGCATTATCCACAGCAATTTTTATGAGAGTAATTGTCAATGTGAAAAAATATGAAAGGTGGATATACAAACATAGACGGATTATAAA